AAACGACATAACTCCGCGCGGAGATATGGCATTCCAAAACGACATAACTCCGCGCGGAGATATGATGTTCCAAAACGACACAACTCCGCGCGGAGATATGACGTTCCAAAACGAAAAACCTTCGCGCGGAGATATGACGTTCCAAAACGACATAGCTCCGCGCGGAGATATGACGTTCCAAAACGACATAACTCCACGCGGTATGATGGGTACTAGCTCCGCGGGGAGATATGACGTTCCAAAACGACATAGCTCCGCGCGGTATGATGGATAATAGCTCCGCGGGGAGATATGACGTTGCAAAACGACATAACTCCGCGAGGTATGATGGATAATAGCTCCGCGGGGAGATATGACGTTCCAAACCGACACAACTCCGCGCGGTATGATGGGTAATAGCTCCGCGGGCAGATATGACGTTTCAAAACGACATAACTCCGCGCGGAGATATGACCTTCCAAAACGACATAACTCCGCGAGAAAAATGCAGTGTTGTTTACTCTGAAAAGCAAAGAGTTTTCCACCGCCTAATGCGATTTTAGAGTGGCGCCGTCTGGTCTGACATTTTCATAAGAATCTATTAACAAAATGAACAGTTATTTGGGGAACAAATGAACTGCTATATGACGTTCCAAAACGACATAACTCCGCGCGGAGAATGATCTACCAAAACGACATAACTTCGCGCGGAGATATGACGTTCCAAAACGACATAACTCCGCGCGGAGATATGACCTTCCAAAACGACATAACTCCGCGCGGAGATATGACGTTCCAAAACGACATAACTCCGCGCGGAGATATGACGTTCCAAAACGACATAACTCCGCGCGGAGATATGACGTTCCAAAACGACATAACTCCGCGCGGAGATATGACGTTCCAAAACGACATAACTCCGCGCGGAGATTTGACGTTCCAAAACGACATAACTCCGCGCGGAGATATGACCTTCCAAAACGACATAGCTCCGCGCGGAGATATGACCTTCCAAAACGACATAACTCCGCGCGGAGATATGACGTTTCAAAACGACATAACTCCGCGCGGAGATATGACGTTCCAAAACGACATAACTCCGCGCGGAGATATGACGTTCCAAAACGACTTAACTCCGCGCGGAGAATGATCTTCCAAAACGATATAACTCCGCGCGGAGATATGACGTTCCAAAACGACATAACTCCGCGCGGAGATTTGACGTTCCAAAACGACATAACTCCGCGCGGAGATATGACCTTCCAAAACGACATAGCTCCGCGCGGAGATATGACGTTCCAAAACGACATAACTCCGCGCGGAGATATGACCTTCCAAAACGACATAACTCCGCGCGGAGATATGACCTTACAAAACGACATAACTCCGCGCGGAGATATGACCTTCCAAAACGACATAGCTCCGCGCGGAGATATGACGTTCCAAAACGACATAACTCCGCGCGGAGATATGATGATCGTTTTGATGATTTTTTTGTATATTTCGGTCAAATAATGCCCAATTTTGCAATTTCATACCATTTCTGACTCGTAAGGATCAGTTTAATCGATTGGCATAAACTTTAACCTCTTACTTGTTTAATTATTTTACATGTCTCTTTTGTTGTAGCTGTGTATCCAATTGTGAGAAAGTATTTTTTAATAAACATAATTTAAAAATTTTGCATCAATAATCTTTATTTACCACTGATTTTTGTTTAGCAGCCAATTGGCTTTTTAATTATTTTCTGATAGTTCTACATTGTTGGTGGCACTTTTTCAAGATCGCTTCTTAGCATAAACTTAAATTTCATCTGTTCCAATTTTGACCACCGATCAGTCAGGTATTTAGTACAGCCAGTGTCTGGAGGAAATTGATTTTTTAAAGTAGAATTAGCTGTTGCTCCACTGTGTTTGGGCTGTCTTGAGTTCGTTAGTGGCTCAGGCAATAAAAATGCGCTCAAGTGTCGCCTGCTTAAACGAATTGTGTTCATTTCGGTTGTTGTTGTTGTTGTAGATTGGATGTTACTGCTTCGTCATTACAAGAAACCCGTGCAATATTCAGCGACGAGAATGCAACACGCCGCACAACAACAAGCACGGCAGCAAAAAATTTTTAATTAATTTTTAAATTTTTAATTTCAAAAATAGAATTTTTTTAAACAATATATATATTTTCTTCGATTTTTCTTTAATACTTACCTCTAACAGTGGAGTCACTTTAAAATAAACTAACAGTTCTAGAGCCACTGAACAGTTAAAAGTTCTTTGCAAGAAAAAACATTGCATACTTTCAGGAATTTTCATTTAAGATTCAAATGCAGCAAACTAGCAATAGATGGCGTTTAATTAACATCCGAAGAAGGTATGTCAAGAAGGCTTAAAAAACAAAGACTCTGAATATCCTATGCAATGTCTGATTATTTATCACATATTCAGATGTACGAAAAACTTATGTGCAATTTTAATAAATGCATAATAAATTATGTTTTGCACATACGAAGCGAACATAAATTTATAACATTCCTGCGAACATTTACATGATTCTGCAATGAGTCCTCTCTAAAAATAGTGCACCGCACATGCATAAATTAATGGACTTCCTTTGGAGTTCCCATACAAGCAATTTGCCTATGCCAGGCCAGAGCAGCGAGCACGCCTGAACAGCGTGTTCCACTAATTATAATGACAAATCGGTCAATTATAATGTCATGTCGTAAATTTCCAAAGCAGCATCGATCATGCCAATGACTGGAATATTGAATAAGAGTGCTCGTAAATTATGAAAAATGAAAATGAACGTAGCCGGGCAGCTATATTAAAAAAGGGAGCAACAATATTGCAGGAAATCTTCGCGTAATTAACTAAAATGCAAACAGGACTCATATCCCGGAACGGGATAAACTACAATTGCAGCTACGCAAAAAATTAAAAAAAAAATTTCGACTGAGCTGCAGCTAAGCCCGAAGCCAATTTCATGAAGCCAAGCACCGGCTACAGAGCTGTCAGAATGGCAATCCACGCGCCACGCCCACCATATTAAAAATCAACTAAAAAGGACGTGCGGGCGTGCTGCCAGCGTCGTTCAACCTGTCAGTTGGCAGAGCCAGGCAACAAACGTGCAGTTTTCAAATTTATGGCCGACACGCACTGCTGCACGCCCCCAAAAACACAGATTCGCCACAGATATATATATATATAGATATCCCCGCCACCATCCCGCCTCCCTGATCCCCGAGGTAAGCGTGTTCGCTTAACGTTCATCATGCCACAGACACTTTTAAGAAAATGTTCTCTGTTGCATTGTAAATTATTTTCGCAGCAGAACTGTTTACTCTGGCACAGCAGCAGGAGGGGAATTGCATGGTCAGTAATTGCCACAGTTGGACACAGTGGGGGGACAATGGCGCGCAACGGTATATAGTAGGCCATAACCAGTTACTTTAGCTGTCCATCAGGCAGCTGACCGCAGAGGGCACGGCAGCATCATCTCAACGTTTACTCTGGTGTCGGCCCATGTCTCGGGGAATTTTTCGCATTAAAATCAGAAATCGGTGCGGCACATTCTCTTTTCGCCAAGTTTATGGGCCCAGCATTCATAGTATTTCACACAGATTGCTGGGGCACCGTTCCAGAGGTCCACAGCGTGATTGCTGGCCAGCGATAAGATGACATACCAAAGCTGCTCTACGCTCACCACGTTTTGTCTTTTGGGCCTACATTTATAAATAGCTGCGGCTTGGCGCATGCAATCAGTGGAATATTTTTATTTATTTTCATCTTTTTTTTTTTTGCGTTTGCAATTCCCAATCCCTCAGAGGCAATAAAAACCAAATGACGACACGCAGACGCCAAACACGTCCGGCCGACCGCAAGCAAGGCCGTTCAGCGACCTTCAGCTGGCACTTACAGCTTTAGCTCCAGATGCTGGTTGTAGGTCCTGTTCTGCATTTATGGGCCCGTTGGCAGCAACATCATTATGATCAACATTATCAACTCGCATGCTCAGCTTGGCGTAATGAAACAGATCTGTTAACGAGCGTCTTCGACTGGCTCTTAATTGGCCAAATGCATCTATAAAAGCCTCCGCCTGACTTCTCTCTTATCTAAAGCCGTTTCCGCATTTCGCTGTCACAACTGATAGCCCCATTGTTGTCATACCCTGAGCTCATTCAAGTCGGATAAAGAGAGTATAGTGCTTTTGTGCTTATGTATGAAACAGGCAAAAGAAAGGATGTCTTTCCGAACCATCTAGTATATTCTTGATCAGCATCAACAGACGAGTTTATCTCACATGTCCGACCGAACACTCGTTGGTTCGGTTCGGTCGTCTATCCATTCAATCTTAGTACCTGTATCTTTCAAAGTGGGTCTTTCCAAATATCGATCTTTCAGTAAATATCAATCTCAGTATGCGATTTATCAAGCATATTTTGGAAATTATGGGAGATAGAGACAAACTTATGATATAGGCTTTCGTATAGTATAAGCAGATTCAGAATATTTATGATACGCCCACCCCACCGTCCCTACCAAATTGGAAAAAAACCATTTATATGTGTATAGCCTTGAGCTTTGGTGTTTATATACCTCCTGCTTCTATATTTATATCTTTTAAATATCATAGAAATCGGACAACAAACATCGAAGTTATTCAAAAACATAATCATATAGTTTGGGTCTGAGGGATGTAGATGCAAAGCCGCAGCGTGTGTGTATGTGTGTATAGAAGCATATCTTCAGTTATTGTTACATCGTCTCGATGCTGGACTCAGGGTATCAGCTAGTCGAGCACTCCTGCTCGACTTTTTGTTGATGCTGTTGTTATGGAGCATCATCCCTTTGTCACTTGTTGGTATCAATTAAAGTTTAATGATAATGTCCCGAGTGTCAGTTACCGATCGCCGTTGGCTGCATGTTTTTAATCAATTTTAAATGGCTATTTACATTTCGTGGACCTGTTTGCTCCCTTTGTTGCAGCAGCCCCCGCTGTGGAGCAGCCATTTATAACAGCGACTGCGGTTTCAGTTTAGTGCTCTTTATTAATTCACTCGATTTATTTTTTATTTTTATATATTTTTTTGTTGTAATTTTTCACATTGCAAGTTACTTAGGCTCTAATTAGGATAGTTTATGCATTTAGGTGCGTACGTGCTTTTGGGCCAAATCGTTAGAGCTTGGCCACGTTCGTTATATGAGTAAATTATGGCAAGTTGCTAGGTAAAATTTTGCGGTTCGTTCAGTTTAGGTGTAAAGTTTAAATTACATTATATTAAATTAGAATACCAACAACTACAATAAATTAATTAAAACATTAACTAAGCATAAAACAAATTCGTTTACAGCCACATAAGCATGCACACACACACACATTCAAAATACACGCACACTTGCTGTAGGGGAATGTAGGATAAAGTAGGACAGAGAGTCGTGGCCGTGGGTTGACAATCTAACTAAGAATACTTATGTCACAAAGACACTGGCTGAAGTTGGTATTCAAATATAGGATTAATCTTGATAAAAAGTGATTAGCTTCAGCTTCTCAATACAAGCTGTTGCATGGCTTTTATACTTAAGCAGCTTTTTCAACCCTAACAGTACGTGTAAGCTACGTTCAAAGTCTTACTGGTAAAAGTTTCCAACGATTCTATTTAAGGCTGAAAGGTCGTCTAACAGTTGCAAGCACATGAATGTTGCACTTGAGGATGAAATTGTGCTTTCGACTGGTGAAGATAATGAAACCCTTTTAGCTTGTGCTTCATATGAAAAAGCTCGATTAACTGGAGAAAGCACTTGAAATTTGTCTGGAATGTTACGATGGCTAAAAGATCAATCAGCTCAACAATATGTTCCTTTCACTCAAACTAACTGTAATTCTCATCAAATCGATTATCCAACTATCGATTACAACTTTCAGCTCATGTCATTGTGATTGTATAAATGAAGGCTAGTTTATATTAATTTAAGCTACGCTAACTACAATACGACTTGGATCACATGTGTATGAAATGAATTGCCGCTGCAGCTGTGGCAGCTGGGCAGCCGAGCCAATCGAGGCAGCTGAGGCAGCTGGGTCAGCTCGGGCAGCTCGAGAGTTGCCGCAGTACAGCTGTGGCTTCAACTACTTGAGCTTCAGAAATGTCAACAACGCCTTTTGTATCAAGCTGCGATCAATGGTCGAGTCGGCGGTGTAACGCACACCGCTTAGGTTGCCATCGTTGTGGTCCACGACGCCATATTCGCCAACGATGAAGCCGTCGTCGGTTTTCTCCTCGACGCGATACTTGCGATAGTTGCGTCCCTCCACCACATAGGCAACTTTATCTTCATCTGACTCATCTGTGCTGCCCCTGCCCTCAGCATCTTCATCGCCACCGTCACCAACACCATCATAGTCGTTGGCATTTGCGTTGGCGTTGTACACCACCGAACCGCGTCCCCGGTCTATGCCGCGATTGCGACCGTGTTGCGTTGTTGTTGTCGCTGCTCCATTGGATGTTGTTGATGTTGTGGTTGCTGGACTGGCTGGTGTTGTGGCTGTGACCAGTGCGCCACTACCGCCGCTGCTGCTGCTGCTGCTGCTGACACCCTGCAATCCATGGGCTCGTCCGTTTGTCATAACACTTACGGACTCTTCAATTTCGTAATTCTGCTCTGGGGTCGGTGTGTAAAGCTCGGCGCGTTCGGTTGTAAAGTGTGGCAACATGGTCGCATCGCCAACTGGCGATGCGGCAACAGCGGAGGATGAGGATGATGAGCTGCTGGAGCTGGAACTGTATGAATAGGCGCTAATGCCGGATGCTGCTGCGGGCGATGCATGTTGGTGTGCAAATTTGGAAACACACTTGACTAGATCTGGCAGTGAGAGAGAGAGAGAGAGAGAGATAAAGAAATATGTAGGTGAGTAAGAGAGAGGTTTGATAAGTTCAAGTTAAACGTGCGTGGTCTCTCATAATTACACTGTGCTGCAGACTTGCAGCTGGGGGTTAAGCTGTAGTCGAACTAATCGTTAGCCTAATTACAGACTCATAAATTTGACCAGCATGCAGCGAATGCAACGCCCAACTAAATAGTTGGTACTCTGCTATGCAAAACCTGCAGCACAGTGTAATTTGCTTGGGCCCAAGACTCACCTCTATTGGGCAATCCTTTGGCATTTTGATTAGAATGTTGAAGCGACAGTGATGAATGCTGACGTTGCTGTTGTTCCCAACATGGACGATGATGTTGCTGATGCTGATGCTGCCGCTGTTGCTGGTAGTCGCTTGTGCTTGGACTCTTTGATAAAATTGGCTCCAATAGATGGCGCGCTGGCTGCGGTTGCGGTGCATTCAATAAATCATAAGGTAATTTATCCAAATTGAAGAGTACACGACGCGGCTGCGAATTGCCCGCACTCAGTGCAGTCTGTTGTTGTTGGTGCTGCTGCTGCTGTTGTTGCTGGTGCAGATGATGATTATGACCACTGTGATAATGGTGGTGCCAAGTGCTTGGCCTAACGGTGGGCAGCGTGCTGCTCGTTGCCGTCTGGGATTCCATGGATCTGCTTGTTGTTGTCGTTGTCGTCTGCGCCTCGCCGAATGCAATCCGCGAGACAATTGCTGGCCGACGCGAGGGCACAAAGGTGGTGGGAGCAGGGCCCGTTGGCACAGTTGCTGGCGTTGCTGTTGTTGCCGCTGTCAATGTAGCGCCTGTTGTGGTGGGCGAGCTGTTCGTGCCGAGAGTGACACCGGTACCGGTTGTAACAGTATGCGGCCAGTAGGTCTTGGCGGGCTCACCATAGACCTTAGCTGGCTGCGAGTATACTTTCGCTGGCTCTGAGTAAAACTTTGACGGCTGTCCATAGACTTTGGCCGGCTCCGAATATACCTTCTCTGGCTGGCCATACATCTTTGCCGGCTCTGAGTAGACCTTAGCTGGCTCCGAGTAAAACTTGGAAGGCACACTGTACATTTTCGATGGCACGGAATAGAACTTGGACGGCTCCGAGGTGAGACGTGGCATGGGCTTGAGGCTGTCGCTCACGTTGCGCTGTGCCTCCGCCAAGATACCGGCTGAATGATGCCAGCCGCCCGGCACATGGAGATCATCCACGTTCTGCGATATGGAGCTGTATGATATTGATCTTGACTGGGGTCCATGGCCCTGCTTCGTGTCGTGATAGATCACCGTCTGGAACGGCAGCAATTTGTCATCACCCGCAACAGACTCATGAGTGTTTGCCTCAGACACCGCCTCCGCATCGTTGGCTCTCTGATTTATGCGAGTGGCATTTCGCCCAGTCGCAGCAACAGCAGCAGCGCCTCGAAACGCCACCGAACTGGAGCGGCTGGAGGTTGCTGCCGCCAGCAATGGTGCAGCCAAAACATTTTGTATATTGGAGGCGCTGTTCAGCGAGTCGCTCTCGACATCCATGACATCGGCGGCCAGGCGTGGCTCCGTCTCCTCAATGGACAGTTCGCTCTTGTGCGAGCGATTGACAAAGTCCACGCCGATTGCACTCGGTGCGCTGCTTCTGTGGGACTGGGAATGGGATTGCGTGGCAGGTGGCTTGAAGGCTGGCGGCTGCGTCCGGCTAATGCGACTGCCACGCTTGCTGGAGGAGCTGACGCTGACAGCCACCACCTTGACCTCTTCGCTGGACTTTGGCTTGCTGGTTGATGCTGCGGGCGCATCCTCTAGAAAGACAATCTTGCTGCCTGTGGTCACTAACTTGACAACCTGCTTGCCATCGGCATCTGTCTGATGCTGCGCATTTGCGTTGCGGTAGCGCGTCTTGTGCTCCAAGCTTCTGGCATTGTTCAGGCGACCAGCAGCGGGTGCCTCGAGCTCCTCATCGCTGTGCAGGCTGCGCTGCTGTTCGTCGTGATCGAGGAACAGCTTGAGAAACTCATTGCCCGCAATGAGCTCACTCTGACGACCCGTTGCCAGTGCCGGGGCAGGGGCGGGAACAGGTGCAGGGGCTGGCCGCGTATAGCCGCAGCACAACATCTGCAAGTGGAAGGAAAAAAAAAGAAACAAATGGGAATGATTTAGTTAGATTCATGTCAATTGCCTCGCATTTCGCTTCAATGCGATTTTTATGCAAATCAGCTGCCGCATGATGCAGTTACCCGACCCCATGCTTATCTCAGCGATATATTTATAAATTTGCGTAATTAAAACATCATTCGCTGCACACAAAGACATTTATGTGTGCCACAAATGTCTTCTTGCTCCGCAGATATGACATTTGAATAATAATGCATTGGGCTTATTAAGACATCAATGGAATGCTGCGGCTACCTTTGAAGTGCTTCTGGCTTGTGGTGCATGTAAACATCTGGACGGTGTCATAATTAACTGACAAATGGCTTGTTAAAGCGTATGCAAGTGCCAGCTAACGAAGACTTTATGCAAATGAATTACCCTCATTTTGCCTATCGCTTTCAGATCTAAGTGATATTTATCTCATATTAATCGGGAGAATCTTTGGATTTACGGTTGCTTAAATGGCAGCTTTAGGCATATTTCATTAGATATTTTCTTTGATATATCGATTGTGCTTATCTTTACATTCAGTTTATCTTAAGATATTGAATAACCCTGTTCACACATTCTTTCACATTACATAAATTACAGCTGAAAATAACTCGCAGTACTTTTCGACCGAGTCAGAACGGATATCTTCAGCACGGTAAAAATGTACGGCTTTGTTTATATGTTTCTAATAGCAAACATCGTACATGTTGAGTTATCTGGAAATATCATGGAAAACAAAATATTTTGCCATACAAAAACTCATATTTCTAACGCTCCTTTCCATAAAGCTACATAATATAGTATTGCTAGAGTCTTGACTCATATCAAGGAAGCATATTTAAGTTAGTAAATGTCGAGAAAATTGTATTACCCTATAGGGTATAGGGTATAAAAGCCGATATTATTAAACAACAACGGAATCTTAAACGAAAACCTTAAAAACTTGCGACAGTAGCTAAACTAGTTTACTTTCTTCAAACCAATGCTAATTAAAACAATCTCAGCTCTCAGCTAATTCTGTGAATATATTAAATTCACTAAAAATTAAACTAAATATAACAAAATTATGAATCATTTTCAGTGTCTCATTTCGTTAACCAGAAGTCGGCTTTCATTTTGAAATGATACGATGATTATTTGGAAAAAACCAAGCATTAAGGTCAAGAATGTGAGCAACAGCTGCATTAAAACATGACTGTTTCTTAAGGACCTCAACCAAATGCAAAACATTTGTGCTTGATTTGCAAAGAACTGTAATTAGGCCATAGCCATTAGCTGTTAACAATTCAGCGTTGACCTTCCCTTTACCCGCGCTGTTGCTTTCTGTTGCAATGAACTCGCCTCTAATGCATATTGTGTGCTTGAACTATGTGTTCAGTTCAAAATAGGCATAAATCAAATCAATGCAGCACAAAATGCCGCCCCACACAAACTTTGAACGTCCCACAAATACAAAAGACTTAGGACACGAACTTGCCCTGCAACAGTCGTCAACACACAAATGACGTATAAAACATATTTATTGCATTTGGCAAAATCAGCATAACTAATTGTAATCGCGATAAATCGCATAAAGCTCTGGGTCATAAAATCAAATGCGATTGGAAAGGCGTAAATTGAAAAAGCAATAAATAAAACAAAGAAAAAATATAAATTCAATTATATATATATATATTTTTTTTTTTTTTTTGCATGCTCAACAATTTATAAAATAATAACATAATTATTATATAAAAAATGTAAAAAACATATATAAGTAATGACAACAACAACCACAACAACATCCGGCAGCTTTTCGAGCATAATGCAAACAGCTTGACAGCGCAGCGATGTGCAATAATAACAACAATAGCAACAAGAACAACAACAAATGGAATTGAGTGGGCGCTAAACGCTAGGCGACTGTCGCCTGCCGCTGTTGGTGTTGTTGTGGCTTAAGACTAAACATTTCTAGATCATATTTAAGCGATTCAATCTAACAATTGTTGGCAGGCAGCATTAAAGCAAGCAAAACACCTTCGCACATGTGCTAAAATTACAGTGTAAACAGGCGCAGGCAGCAAATGGGCGACTGGCCAGTTGCCAGTTGCCAGTTGCCAGTCGGCAGTCGGCAGTTGGCAGTTACCCAGTTACCCGATTGCCAGTTGCGAGTTAGTCACCAGTGAGGCGGCTCGCCTTGCCTTTTATGTCTAAAATTGCAGAAGTAACTGCTGCTGCGGGCAGTGAATGAGCATTTAACATTGACACACAAATCGCTGAAAGTTAATAACAATGCGAGCGCAACTTAGAACAATGGGCCCAAAAGGGCTCCCTCGGCGCGGTGTCACCTAATATTTGCTTAACCGAATTGGACACCAAAAACGTTCTAAAAAAAGCATATTACTAAAAGTGACCACTTTATGTTGCTCTGTGGCATTCCTTTCCATTGTGGCGGGTTACTTGAACCGAGTAGTCAGTGCCGTGGCAAGTTTAATGAATGAAATGCGCTCGCACCAAAAATAGATTGGGCTAAATGATTGAGCATTAATCTTGATTGATTTATCAGAGCTCCGATTTGGTCGGACAATTGGCAAAATGCTAATCCTGTTAGACATTCTTTTGCACTTAGCTGGCCAGTTATCGGCTAGCGTTTATCATTTATCATTTATCATTCAATTGTTGGGCCTCTCACAACAGCGTTGACAATTTTCACGGCTGTCAACTTAGCGGATGTGTCAAAGTGCCACATTCGCAACTTATCAAAATGGGCGCTTAAAATTGTCTTTTGAAATTCTAAACGCTTCTACGTATCGCTGCCAGTTGTCGGTGGAACTCAATGAGATATCCGCCTTAACCAATAGTCAATAGACCTGTTGTCATGTATCGAACAATTAAGCAATAATCACCGCCTTAATGAACGCTCTCAGTGTACTCCAGCTTTAAGCTGGCGTACGGCAGCTCAATTGGCTTTCAAGTGCCGCTTCAAAAACTTCCAATTTAATTAGCCACAAGCATCCATCGAAAAAGAATTGAAAAAATGAGGCGAACAAGTTTTTTAATGAGTTGGCTTTCATGGTCCAGCTGCGCCCCCTCTTCAAAAAAAAATAGGTTGTCAAATTCAATTACGTTTCGCTTTCAATTTGAGTTTCAGATTCGATTTCAATTTCATCCGTTTTATTTTCGACTTTGTATGCAAATTTCGGAAGTGCAAACATTAAAAGTCACTCATTGGGGCTGCGAAGCAACAGCTGCTAATCAATTAGGCGTCTCCACATGATTGATGGAGCGCTGAAAACGGGATTCGGTTGCATAAAAAACGAATGACTCAAGACACGAACTAGCCACACACAGTGCGCCTGGAGATTTGCATAAAGCCCAAAACACGGAAAAAGTCGCCAGGCTATAATAATGAAAACTCTTTACATATATATTTTTTTGTTTTTATCAAAATTCGTCTGGTCAAAACAGGCAATGCAACAAGAATTGGCCTGTCCGCATGCATTTTATGGTGTGGCCGTAACGCTTGTGGCCAGCGGCATTTGTAGTGGGCGTTGCAGCGTTGAAAGGAGCAGCAGTAGCAGCAGCAGCAGCAGCCACAACACAGTTGCCACAATGTGAATGTGTCAGCTGAGGTCTGTGTCTGTTGCCAAGCGGCCATTGTTTAATTGCAGCTAACCACCCGCGGCCGCTCAGCTGTTGTGTGTGTGCAGCTTGCCACTTGCCGCTTGCCACTTGCAGCCTGGCATCTTATGACTTGCCAGTATCGAGCCATCGATCTTCGGCCCCACATAAGGGCGCTCAATGCCATCCAACCCGATTGCAGCGCTCAGCTTGTGTGTCTCTGTCATAATAACACACATTTATTAATTACACAGCACAACAAAACTACGCTACACTGTTCCATATATATGCTTGCTAATCGTCAAATGCATATCACACACAAACACACATATACTCGCACTACTTGCATGAAAGAAAAGCTGACGCTGGCTTTAGAATGTTGTTGCTCCACGCGACGTTGCACCGCGCCCCACTATGCCGCCTCCTCAATCAACGTCCCGCCCGCTGCGCATAATTTGCAAATTGCCAGCGTCATCGACTGCAACTCCAACTGCAACTGCGACTGCGACTGCAGCCCGCCAGTTGCCGTTTTAGTTTGCAGTTTTGAGTTTCAGTTTCGCATAACCGCGCTCAAATCGCGTGCAATTATTTAGCCTGGCTTTTGCCGCAGTCGAGTTTACTTTGGGCTGCTTTACATTACACACAATCAGCTGTGTCTGTGTCCAGCGAGCGCAGTCAATAAAGAGTCCATTGCAGCCACAACAGGCATTAGCATTAACCAACAGAAATAAATAATAATAAAAATGCATTCGCATTGCAGATGATTTGGGCCAATAAATGCACAAGCCAGACTGAATATAGACACCATTATGGCCAGCAATTAGTCCATTTATTACTCTAGCCGATCTAAAAGCATTGGCCAAGTGAGTAATTGAGCTCATGTGCAACTGCAACTGCAACTGCAAGTAGTACAACGGGACTGGCATGGCCAAGCCAAATGGCCATCTGAGTGTTATTTCAAAGGGTTGGCCAACACGAATCGATTTGTTGCGCTATGTGCAACCGTTTGTGTGTCTGTGTGTGTGTGTGCTCCCGCATAAATACATATTTGCCCCATATGCGTAATAAATCATGCCACACAATCAGACAACAGCTCGCATTCCACATCCATCTCTAAAGTTCAATGTCGAGAATTGTGTAGACGTTGCATGGGATAAATATGTGAAGCTATGAAACTAGTTGGTTTGCCAGCGAACAGCGGCTCGCATATATCTTCTCTTAATGAATTAATGAATATAAACAATCTATGGCAAATACTGGATGTACCCTTAATAAATTTATAGTTATATGCATTAGGCTGAGCTTGTTTAGGTGAAGTTGAACTGTGTTGATGCCAAGCATAATTGCATTATGGCCCCAAGATTCAGCTGTAGAGACAAGAAAATACTTTTGGGAAAGAGCTAGTCAAAATAATAAGCAACGAAAGACCCAACAAGGAATTTATCTAATCTTATTTGGAACGCATTTTTTAAGTAAGTGTCTGACTATGAGATGATGCACAAGTTTAAAATCATTTTCAACGGTTTCAGGGTATAATTAGAACCTTCAAGAATGTGGAAAAGCAACGGAACGAAACGCTAAAATCGTGAATCAAACCAGTGACAGTTTTTATTTCAGATTTGCAGCCCTGATCGTATCCACGCTTATATAAAAATATATATATGTATATATCGTAGTGCTTAGTTTACAAATACAAGCTAATATACTAGAAATAATTATGCGAAAAAATACACTTACCAACAGCAGGAATACCAATTTATGATACCAGCAAAAGTGTGCCATGCCGTTCTTAATTCTGTGCAGTTGCATTTGCTTTGACTCCGTCAGCTGGGGAGTTGGTAAAGGATCCAATTTATTGGGCGTTTTTATCAGGCACTTTGATTTCGACTCTTGTTCTTATCGACTCCTTAATGAAGCTTACTTTCTTTGCGCGACAAGTGATTCATTTGGCCGTTTGTCTTGTCTGCAGTTGAATCATGCTGAAAATGGATGACATGCTCCAGGGTCACCGTCTTTCCGCTTTGCGTGTTGTTGTGCCGATAGCTGTTTGTGCGTCTGGCAGTGTGTGTGTGTGTGTGTGAAGGTATTTGATGATGTGACTTGTTAATCACTGAAATTAAAGAACAGAAGAAGCGAGTAATTAAGCAGTGCCTTCATTCCAAATGGAAAGACAAGTTAAAACTTTGAAGGGGGTTTTTGGCATGGCCACGCGAGAGTGCACGACTAGGTGATACCTTAGACAAATTCCAAAGTATATGTATAAAAAATATGCATATATTTAATTTTTGCACACACCTATTAAATACAGTCGAATGATCTGTCCTGTATATGAGGCTGTTGCCTGTAGCTATAACTGAAGTTCCTTTTCTTGGAATAGATGAAATATTTCGTTTATATAACTAACTAACTAACTAAGGGATATAAATATTTATGGTATTAAGAAAAATCTACCACAAAATATCAGTTCACATTCCAAATTGAATTGATGAATAGATATCGGGCTTAATTCGAAATCAAGGCCGGGCTTGCGCCAAACCAGCTGAAACCCAAAATTTCCATTATTTTATTTATCAAGAATTAGTTGACTAATTAAAAATTAATTGTAAAAAAATAGTTGGGCTCACAACAAGAATTCCTTTGGAATAACAATAATATTCAAAATAATATTGCAAGCCTTTGAAGTTTTCACATTGGTTCAGTCTATTACTGACTCTATTACAAACTCTATAGTTTGTTTATTGAAACTTTAAAAGACTTGCGAGAAACCAGACTGTTTAATATGTATAAATGGCTAAATGGGCGCGTGAGGTCAGAACATCGAAATGATTGTCGGCCGGGGTCTTGACGCCGTGACAATCATCGCTCAGGTGAACATCAAAATTGCAAAATGATGCATAATTTACAAAAGCCATTGCCTGGCATTAGCATTAGCAAAGCGAAAACAAATTCATTGCGATCGGTAATCAATAAGCGGCTGTAGAAGATACATACTCAAATGTCAAGGTGCATTTCACACTTGCGCAGAGCGAGCGGGGAGGCGCAAGCAAAAATACAGCAAAACAGACAGAAATATTTAAACATTTGCAGCTCATTTTTAAAAGTTGCCAAATGCGATTGAGTCACGGCTAGAAGAATCATTGAACTTGTCTGGCGCAGCGGCTGTTTGGCTGCGACGGGGCAGCATTTGCCACAACAAGTCGCAACAAGTTGCAGCAGTTCCAGCCGCAACAGCAGCCGCAGGCAGCCCCAGCCCAAGACCAGGCAGATGCTAAGCTGTTTTTTCTTAAGCAATTTCAAAATATTTATAATTAATGACAAATATTTTGATAGCCACAACAATTGGCATGTCATTGGGGCCTGGCTGGGCCTGTGCATTGTGTGTCTGAGCCAAGTTGGCCAAATCGTTAGCATACTCAGTTTGCCGCCGGCGCACATTAGCCTTTAGTTGATTTTTATTGCCAATTGGCGCCCTTTATGCCTCAATCTTAGCTTAATTTAATTAAAGCTTCTAAGTAATTAGCGCGCAGACACAGTATCAGGCATTTCCGCTAAGCCAAGTCCGTAATTAAGCCGTAAACTCTGAGCCAAGTCAAATGTGGCTTCAGCTCACAGCGAATACACAAGAATCAATGGTATTTATTGGCAAACCGAAGACTAAATACTCTTGTCCACATAGGGACATGTTTGTAGGATAGTAAAGCTCGTCTAGGCCAAAATTATTCAAAATATCTTGAGGAACAGAAAAGAAATGTTTTTCGATCTATGCCTCTTGACCATGACTCTATCGACTGACAAACTTATGATACATTTAACAAGAGTATGCAAAACAAAAAAGGCTAAAAATAGTTGTTGGACAAAATAAATGTAAAAAAAAACAGCAGCAACATAAGCGAGACACAAGACGAAATGCTAGCCAGTTGGCCAACATCGTAAAACCAGTTCTAATTCTTATCAAGCCTTCTTCACGGGCCATATAATTACTCATAGTCGCAGCTTTGGGCCGCAGAGCGTTCAATGGCTTTTAATTATCCAGGAATTTGTGTGTGTGCAAAACAAAGCAATATGTTTATGGCCAGAATTCGGCTCATTAAAAATGAAAGTTTCTTGGCTAACAAAAAAACGTCTAAGCTAAACTTGGCTCATTAATTAGACACGGACAACTGTTGGATATGGAAATTCCTTTGTATACACTATCTTTTAGATTCTGCTACTGCTTCTTATTCGCATTACACCCTTGTGCAGAGTACTATAAATTGGCTACCAAGTTTGTAACGCGCAGATTTTATGATTCTAAATAACTAAATATATTCTTGATCGGCATTTGAGAACCTACTTAGTTGATTAAGCTTTGTTTAACTAGACAGAATCGCACTTATATATTACACAGCTGTCATAAATATTAGCCATATAATAAAGCTATTAAATATATTAAAGCAATATAGAAAGAAAAGTCCCAATATATGAGTTAGCATTTGAGGGCTTCACTATTCGCCTAATATATCTGTATATCGGGCTAATGTATTATGCAAATTGGTCGAAAACAAATCGTTTATAAGCAAGCAAGAGTATTTAATATTCGGCGTACAAAAGAGAACTGCTTCTTGTTCTTCTTGTCTTCACTTGTCTCTTGTCTCAATCCGCTTGTGACGCATTTCTTATGAGCTGTTTTATCTTTGACAGCTTGACAGCTAGTTTTTAAGCTATTCTCGTTTCTGCTGTAGCTTGTATAACCGATCATAGGGGGAAAAGTAAAAGTTCTAATCACATTCCGCAAAGGTCGTTGTTATCTCGAAACCAGGCGCCTGCTCCACTGCACTCTCCGACATGTGTATCCACTTATTAAACTGGCCAGCTCAGTTGAGAGCTGCACCCATATCAGAGCCAGAAACAGAACCAGCAACAGAAACATGGCATCAGCTGTAAGCTCGCTAGCGTTAAGGCCAAAAATGTATGCGATATTTGCCCGAGCGTAACTTGTTTGAACTTTACGTAAATCTATTGAACGTGCACATGGGTTTTCAAAAAATTTGGAAAATGCATAGCTAACTTTTATATAAATGCATCAAATTTAGTAAATAAAATCTATTTCTAGATTCAGGCCATTTCATGCCAACATTGGTTCAAAACAAAATGTTCAATTTGTTGTAGTTTTTAAAATGTTTTCCGAAAATTAAATCCTGATGATGAAATACCAATGCATGCTAACTTAACGCCTAACAGAGATCTGTTTAAAAAAAATATATATATTATTTGTAGTTTTCCACATGTCTTATCAAACTATAAATAAAATCGTATTCCTAATGAAAGTATTAAGAAACAAGTAAGAGGTGCTAGTCGGGAGCTCCCGACTAGGGGATACCCTGAACCCTCTTCTTCTAACATCAAACGGATGCTGATCAAGAATATATATACTTTATGGGGTCGGAGATGCTTCTCCTTCTGCCTGTTGCATACATTGGGATTTTGCACAAATACCATAACCCGTTTTTGAAGGGTTCAGGGTATAAAAAGCTTGAGTTAATTTGCAAAATTTTGTCAATAAATAACAACAAAACGATATGCATAAAAAGTCGCAAAGGTCTGAGAATGTTGTGGGAGTGGAAAAACTATATTGAGCACTCAGAATGGAGTTGCAATTATTAATGTTGCATTGGTGGCGGTTAAAAGAATATGTCTGTGTCACTTGGCAATGGCACTTGATGCTGGTCTTGTTCTTGGTCTTGGACTTGGCCGGTTGATTCTCGTGCATGCCCATTGGCGTCAAAATTGTGCGATATTCGAGCAGTTAGTATATAAATTAGAATGCTAATCGATAGCTATGGATACGCCCAGAAAAGCAATAGACAATAAACCTAGGGGCACAATAGAATGCTGACAATTCCGGTTAATAAACTTGATTTAAAACCAGAAGTGAGCTAGGAGCATGGCAAAGACACAGTCAGAGGCAAATAAATTGCTACTAAGTACGACATGGGACAGCACAATAAAATCGAATCAAATTGAATCGAATCGGAGTCGCAATCGCAATCGCAACATAAAGTGTGTAACAAATGGGTCGCCGGTGGAATCAAGTGTTGGACTATGTGACAAATTGTCAAACATTCTCGAAACAAAGGCAAAATCACACGCGACGAGGCAGAAAAAAGCCCGATTGCAATTCATTGACAATTGACGGCGACCGCAGCGAGTTGAGGGACGGGCAGGCTCAAAGCCAAGCCAAGGGAGAGGCCACACGGCGTATGCGCTATTTTTTTTTTTATTTTTGTATTTTTTTGGTTTTTTTTCAGGCTTGCTGCCAGGCAGACTGCCAAATAATAGTCAAGCAAAAGTAAAGCAAACTTAAGCAAGTGGCCGCGACCATAAAGTTGTTTATATTTCCATGGAATTTCTTAAGAGTTTATTGCACTTCTCGCATACCCTGTTGCCATTAAAAATGTCTAAGCCAGTTTGTCATAAAGTTTTGTAACAGTTGCACAAATATCTTAAATATAAATTTATGTTCTTTGACAACATAAGTCGCAGAGCCCAGCCTTGTGCAGCCTTAGCTTATTTGGTAGGTGGCTACTTATAGATTCTATATAGCATTTATTTTTAGACTAACGCGAATACTCTGCGACTTGTTGAGAGTGAAAGAATTTTAATAAAAATACAGAGCATCTTTCAGCTTACAATTACAATCTGCTTATTTTTGAGATTTCTGCTGATGTTGGTTTTATTTAGAGCATTTGCTAGACTAACACTCCATAGTTAAGCATTCGCACTTGTTTTATCATCATAATTATTGTCATAGAGTTTGCCATTGCAGTTGAAACGCAATATAAATAGTGCAACAGGTTTTTTTTTGCCTATCATTTGCTACTGTTGTTGCCAACGACTGCAAACAATTTGTTAATTTTGCTTAGCGGCGTTAATTGTTTTGGCCAAAGCTCAGGCGAAGCATTTTTGCTGCTGCTGCTGCTATCTTGTTGGTATTACGAAGTATGTTTGGCTGGTTGCCGACTGCACCGCAATTAAGCTTTTAATAATAATTTGTATTAAAATAGTTGAACGACTTGAGTTTGGCAATGGGCTGCCGTTTTGCAATTTGGCATAGAATGTGCCGCAAATAAATTACAGAAATTGTTAATAAATTTGTTTAATTGTTGCCAAGCATGGGCTTCACTTTTCAAATATAAATATGGTGAAAATGTAAAAGTACCCAAGAAGTAGGTTAAAATAAACGGATTTATATCTTAACGTGTGCAAGACTTTTTCTGAAAAGCTGCTTGGCTTAAACGTCGAAGCGTCTGACTTACCAGCAGTAGGTCGCCGGTTCAAACTCAACAGAAAATCACAAAGAAAAAGGCAATACAATTGATATATGTTTTTTGAACTAGCAAAAAGAAAAATTAATAAAAGCTAATATCAAATGCGCAAGAGACCAATAGAAAACTAAATATGAAGCATACTTAAAAAGGGAGATAGAAAATCCTAAAAAAAAAAAAAATATATTTAAATTGTTACAATTTTCAATTACAAGCAGCTTAATTTATTTGACTATGTACCTTGAATAAAATGCAAGCCAGACAAAAGAAATATTGACTTACAAAACTTGAGCCCTAAATAAAAGCCCCATAAATAGACAGAAACACACACACACACACTCAATTACATTAAGCCGTTAATTATGACAAACAAGTTGGTAATAGATTGGGGCGTCAAAATAACAGCTGCATCTAGCTGGGGCAAATTACTAAATTATAGTTGCACGTCCCACAATTTGACAAGCCCTGCGTGAGAGCTCATTTGTCCATAAAGTACATTCAAATATAACGGCCGGACATTGCGGCAATCTATGAGAGACCGTGCGATAAACATCTGCTCAATCAAAATTGATCTACACGCCCGTCAATCAAACAGGAGACAAAAGCGTCAAAGAGAAAAAGAAAAAAAAAGCATTTTCAATCGATTTCGATGGCTAATGCATGCCACAAAGGCTAACTGTAAGGCACAGCAGCAGCAACACACACAGACACACACACACACACAGACACTTTCATCGGTGACCTTGACGCTAACCACTGGCTATTTATTTAGTTTTTTTTTCTTTCGGTTTTTTGAATGCCTTTTTTTCTGCACCTTTTTGGCCGACATATTTTCAGAGCAGTTGCAGTCTCTTTGGCTCTGGCTTTGGCTTGAGCTCGGGCTTAGGCTTTGGCTTTGGCTTGGGCCGTGCAGATTTCTAAACACAATTGAAGACAAATCCACTTTATAGCCGTCAAAAAATGTACGAGAGCAACAAAAACAAACAGCGTTGAGCAAGGCAGCAAAAATTAAAACTTGGCAAAAAAAAAAAAACAAACTTCGAGTACAAGCTGCAAAAAACTTAAAGCCAAAAAAATGCTAAGCATAAAAACGCGTTTGCGCATAAAAAAAAATATATAAGAAAAACGTTTTGGCCAATTTTAGCGATTTTGTTTTTTTTTTTCTTCTTATGTATTAACCGTTACTTTTTTTTACATGCTGAGCTTACCAATGCACCCACCACATTTGTTGTTGTGCTCGTTGTAGTTGCTGTTGTTGTTGTTGTTGTTTTAGCTGGATTTTAATCCCGTGCTGTAGTTGTTGGCGTTGTTTGTTGTTGTTGTCGCTATTGAAGTTGATTATTTGTATTTGATTGTTTGCTTTCTATATTGCGAGCCGTTTATTGTTGTTCTTGTTATTGGTGTTGCTGTTGTTATTGTTGTTGTTTTTGTTGTTGTTCAGTGCATTTGTTGCTAAGCCGTTTGCCGAATTGGAGCAATATTGGCGCGCGCTATAATTGTACGAATTTTTACGACGATTTGTTTATGGCTTTTTAAAAATGTGTTCGTTTTAATTTTAAATTAATTTCTTTTGCTTTTACTTTTTACCAGTTTTGGGCTTACAGTTCGTTGTTATTTATTTATACTGTTTATGTTTTTATTTATATATATATATATATATATGTTTTTTTTATCTTAGCCGCACTCACACACTCTGAAAACTATATATTTAACTGACTTTGTCGAAATGCTTGCATTAAATAATGCAATTTGTTTGATGATTTGTCGCGTTGCTGTTTGGGGCCAACGTTGCGTATACAATATATTTCTAGATAACTTTTGGTACGGTCCTTAAATATGTTTTCAGCTGTGCTCGGGGCTGGCAAAAATGCTTAAGAAAAACTTCTTGTCTTAAGGCCAGTGGCAGTCGCAGTGCCTGGCAAATGACTTTCACGAGACAAACGAGCAGCGGCAACAACAAATTATGTTCGAGAATCAAATTTGAAATGAATTTTTGTGCAGGTTGTGCCGTGCGTCCGTTTGGCTACAGCGTCCACAATTAACTGAATTCCCACAGCGATCAGAAAACTGATAAGTGCTTGCTGCTGGCTAGCGCCCAAGAAGGCTGGCAAAAGCTCAGTAAGCCAGAGACTGAGGCAGAGCCAGAGACAGAGCCAGTCGCAGCCGCAGCCGCCAAGTGCCAAGGCAACAACAGCAGCAACAACAACAACAACAACAGCAGCAACAGCAGCGCACAAGAAAGGCAAAAGCACAAGTACAAACACATACAAGCGCACACACACTCATACATACATTCACAGGCTGGCAGGCGGCGCACAGTGAAGCAGGTTCATAAGACGTGGTGCAAATTTGTAAGGCATTATGAAAACCAAATTATTTGAATGATGGTATATATTGCTAAATATAATTTAGTTAAAGCTGCAATTAAAGATCTACTCACGGTCAGCTTTCCTCGGGGATTTTTACCATTGAAACGAACATCTCTCTAAGTAGAGCGTTTACTGTTCTTAGCACAATTTATTTTATCCTTAATACCAAGTACCAAATAAAAAAAAATCATAATTATTTGAACTTATAAGTATAATTCAATCGTATTTATAATATTGACCGAAGACCCTCATTCAGCTTCGATTAAATCTATTTTAAATAAATTAACATCCCACGAAGAACACATTAATATAAAGTACACGCCAATATATTTTTTCTAACCAAACAATTTCAACAATAAACCACAGTCCAGCATACTGATTAGCTTAGATTTGCTGGCTTTGAACACGCACAACAACAACCATAGAAGCAACAGCTTTTACGGATCAACATCAAAGCAGCCCACAAGCTTCAGCTCAGAAAGAACGGACAGTTCGTTCCACTGTCAAAGAGTCGGCTTTTCGTGAGCTTCGTGTTCGACCAACGGTCATCGGGGCGAGACTTTCAATGTTCGTGAGCTGCTGTTGATAGCAACTGCATTTACGAGCGCATAAAGCTAAAACAAGCTTACACCGATATTAGCTCACTTAACATAAAACTGTTAAATTAACTTTGCATTGCGTGAAGTTAGTGGCAAACGCAGAGTTGAGAAGCGTTAAGTTAGCTGCGAAAGCAAACAGATAATTTATCGAGCACCGCCACATTATCTAACGAAAATACAAATTTAAAAATTCGAAAAAATAACTTGTCCTTTTTTGATTTTATGATACGCAGCTTAATAAGCTGAAAAGCACTCTTAAATTTATTATCAATATTTATTATCAAGCCATATACGCATTTACAGTATTTACAAGCAATATTAAACGTGTTATTATCAAAATAAATTGCAACATTTTGCTAATAATTGGATATTAGGGATTTATGTTTAATCTTATTGGCTAGCTAGCCGTATTTTTTTGGTTTTTAAATGATTTAACGTTCCAAATGCACAATATTTAAATATTAGTTAGCTTATCACAAAATAAAAAAGGAATTGCTGTACATTAAAAACTGGCTAGTGCTGAATTTCTTGCTTCAAAACATCCAATTATCAAATTTCCCGCGACGTGTTTGTTGTCTGTTTAGAAAAATAAATATTTAGCCATTAATTAGAAAATAATTATAAATATGCATGGTCACTACAACTACATATCTACAGATATATGTTAGAAGTGTCTAAAGTTGCAATGTTTCGCTTTTGATATGAATTGTTTAATTGACTTGATGATATGATGGCAATTACTAAACAAAAAAAAACAAAAAACCGAGATTGAAACATTTAAATTTAATTATTTATTTGGATTACTTAATGTTTAGGCATCTTCATCGAACATTATTATTTATTTATATGTGTTTGTATATCTTTCTTTTAGTATTTATAGTACATGTTTCATCATAACTTTAATACATCATAAAAATAATCATAATCATATGAACAAAACAAACTGTAATTGGGGATATGCTTATGCTAAAGCGCAGCTCATTTTAAAAAATCACACAATGCCCACAAAGTTTTCAGAATATTGTAAAAATACTTATCAAAAAATAGATGTAGATGTACATATATATATACTCGTATCTGAACTGAAACAGTTACTGCATGCAATTTATACCAAATTTTGGAGTTGTAAAACAAAATGGCAAAATTATCAAAAAATAACATAATTATACAGTTTTACATATGCATATAATGTATATAGAGGATATATGATTAAAAGGCAGCTCGCTAAAAACTGGCTGGGATTGAACTTCAATTTCGACTGATAAGTACAAGTTGCGTTTTATGCGCTTCAATGTTGGGATTGTCTCGGATACAGTTTGACAAGCATTGGAATGTAAAAACGATAATTAAATGTTCCATATAGATTTCTATTTGGAATGGAAAAACAAAACATAGATTAAAGCTAGCTAAAAATGGATTTTAACTACAGAAATCTCTAAAGCAAACGCACACAGCTAAGCGGGGCCAACAAAAACAACAATCAGGGTGCAGGCACGACAATGAGGGCAGATCTTGGTTTGAATTCCGATTTTCGGAACTCCAAGCTGCTTCAAACTTGCGTCACGCACTGCGCATATTTATCCAGTTCGCCGCGCAGCACCTTCACCCGCTCCGTCTCCTCGCGCAGCATACGCACCAACTCCTCAATGGTCCGCTGCTGCTTCAACACGATCGCCTCCAGCTTATCCACACGACCCTCCAGCTGTTGCACCCGCGGCAAAGACTCTGCCGCGACCTGATGATGATTGTTGAGCAGCGTTGTCGCCGGACTCTCATTGACGCTGACATTGTTGCTCCTCTCCAGCTGCGTGCTGCTACTGGCACTGGATGTTTTCACCAGCGGCGAAACGCTGCGATTGCGTATCGATAAACTGTTAGGGCGTGCCGCGCGTGACTCCTCATCGCTGCTGGCAGCCGGAGCGGCTATTGGCGCTGCTGTGGCTGACGTCTTTGTCGCTGACATGCTCTTGGACATGACGGCATCGTGGCTGTTGTTGCTGCTGGTCAAAATGCTTGTGCTGTTGTTGTTGCTGCTGCTGCTGCTGCTGCTGTTGACTGCCTCCACCTTCTGGCTGCTGCTGCTGGTGCTGCTCTCCACGAACATGGACTGCTGCATGATGCTGGAGGAAGTCACCGCACTCGATTGCACTTTCGTTGCAGTCGCACTGCTGCTGGTTATAGAGTTGCTGCTGCTGCTGATTGCGCTGGTGGTCACCACGCTGGTTGTTGCTGTCGCCTGCTCGGCGGCAAACAGCTTTGAAGTGCGCTCGGCTACGGAGATGGCACCGCCGCGTGGCTCAACATTGGGCGAGGTCTTTTTGCGTGTCACCTGCGACGCTTTCAGCTCCTCCATCCAGGGCGCCTTTTTCTTCTCCCATTCACGTGGCTTTGGCTTGGCCAACTGTGGCTCCTCGCCAGTCGAATTGTCATCGGATGAGCCCGTCGCCGCCTGCTTGCCAGCAGGGCCACCATCTTCACTTAGCTCGCTGGCACTGCTGGCCATGCCGCTGCCATTGACATACACCGAATTGTTGTTGCTCTCGCCCAGCAGATTTATGGCCGCCGAGGGCGGGCGACGTTTGGGCGCTTTGACGCGACCGGCGCGCATATCTTGCAGTATGGAGCCGCGCTCGACACGATCAAAGTCCGTATCCTCAACGGCTATGGTAGCGGCGCGTCTCATGACAACATTGCCAGCCGCGCCCGACTCGGGCAGCTGTCCGCCAGCTAATTTACTGCCAGCCAAGCCATCGGAGACGTCGTGCGACACGGCGCTAGTTAGTTTGCTCTCCGCGCTCTTCTTCTTCATGCCCGCACCCAAAATGTTGCCTGGAAATGCAATCGAAAACAGTGTCAATTAATTGGATTATACTTGTTGTGGAATCAAGCAAATGAAATAAGTCAAAAAGAATGCAAACTTATTAAAATTAAACAGTTTCGAGCTCCAACTGGATCGGCTTAAACTCGTTTTGCAGCCTTGCTTCTATTAATTCTTCTAAGTCTGCGACTTCTCCCATGACTTCTTCTGCGACACTTGATTCATCTTTTACTTTTACTACTACTACTTAATCTTATACTTCATCTACGACTTCTATTTCAAAAGTTATTTATACCTTATTCTTACAAATATTATATTCACTACTATCTCTTGACATTTAATACTTTCGCTAAGATATCCTCTTGCGTTACTTCTACGAATTATTCTACTAATGCTAATATGACATCTACTTTTCCTTCAACGACTTAAATTCTTATTTCTTCCAAAGCGTATACGGCCTCTACTATACTCAATAGTTTACTACTTCTTTGTCTTCTTAGTACTTCCAGTAATCATTTGCCTTTCTCTACTTCTACTACAATCTACCATATCGTTTACTACTTTTTCAGCGACTTCTAGTGCCATTGCTCTTATTACCTTTTTCATAATCTACGGCTTCTGCTCACAATATTTAGTTTACAACTTGCATTAAGATTTCCTTTCTACTTAAAGTTCTTGATTACTACCTATACTAAGTCTATCCCTTCCCATTGTCTGTGCATCTCGCGGTCCTTACTATGGTATATAATTTATTCAATTCTTGTACTCGAAATCCTTCTCACTTGACCACCAACAACTACTTTGCAGAAGAAGTTCAAGTTTGGGAATAACGCGGAAACTCTAGAATATTTATCGAGAACTCCCAACTGAAGCCTTGCATTTGCCGCACTTTTTGCCGTAGCGACTCCTCTTTGACTTATTTCATTTCTATCGAATTCACAACCTACCTGAGACACTGCCCGTGGGCGTCTTCTTGAGCGGCACACTGGGCTTTTTGCCCACCACAGGGGGTGTGGGTGACTTGATCTTCTCATCCATATTGTCCAGGCTCTTGCGCAGCTCCGCGTACGCAGAAGCTGAAGTGTTGTTGCTGCTGCTGCTGCTGCTGTTGCTTGTGGCTGTTGTTGTTGTTGTTATGATCGTGTTGCCTTGCTGCTTGCCACCGCCGGGCAGCTTGCTCAGATCGAGGTTCTTATTCTCCAGCGACTTGCGCTGGGCGGCCACAGTGCCAATGGGCAGGCCCGTTTCGCTGAGTATATCATTTAGCGAATCGCGCGATCCGAAGCTCTCCTTGCGTCCCGAACCAGACGAATTGCTGCTGCTGCCCGTCTTCTTGATGTATACCTTCGATGTGGTTGAAGCGCTGTTCTGCTGATGCTGCTGCTGCTGCAGCTGCTGTTGCTGCTGCGTCACCGTCGTGGTGGCTGTATTGCTGCTGCTGCTGCTGCTGTTGGAGTTCGTTGTGGTCATGTGGCTCGTGTTGCTTATCTTGCGCTGTGATTGCTGCGTGGTGGTGACTGCTGCTGGCTCGTTAATGGGCGCGACTGCAAAAGGGCAGAAAAGAGTGAAGATCATTTTAGACAATGAAGTTTCTGTTCTCATCATCGCTGAATGTGGGCTGCATTTTTGGCCACCCAACCACAACAATCAGCGCCACTTCAAGACGCGTCCAGTCCAGACGAGTTAACTTCAGCTGGGTTTATTATTAAAGATGAGCACGTCGATACGAGCTTCGGCGTGACTAACGCTCAGAATGGCAACAGCCAAACGACTACCGCAACAGCTGAGCGACAATGCAAACCAAACAGCCAAACGGGTTTCGCTGCTCAACTGTTGCCAAATGTCAATAAATTAACGCGAATGTCAAACAAAGCGCTAGCGTAGGAGCGCATGCAAACGCAAATTCACACAACATACTACAAATGACCAGCTAGAGATGGGCGCGTGGCACGCACACATAGATACACATAGGATAAGAAGTACTTGTTTTTAGCAACTACTACGAATATATACAAAATAAATTAATCAATTAATCTGTCCCAATAGTTAATCTAATGATTTTTTTTCTTGCTAAATGCTAACTAATCTAACGGATTTGAAACAGTCTAAAAAATGTAACAAAAATCTGTCTTCTTAGATGAGATTCCTATAAAAAAAAAACTAATATATAATATTATTTAAAAGGCTTTATGATTAAGCTCTTTTAAATACTTGTGACGTATTTCTAATATATTTTTTTGTTTTTATTTGTTTTTTATTTTTATTATTTTTAATGGTTAATTTATTTTCTAAAAAAAGTAAACACTTTTGCTGCTATTATTCAAAAAATATAATTTAATTGGCTTTTTGTTAACTTTTCGCCCTTACGCTCTCAAAATAAAATATTAACTTGCTCGACTATTGCCGCCTTATGCCACTGGCTCTGGACATATGCAATAAGTGGTTTGCACTAAAACGTCTTGTGTATTTTGATTGTGCGTGTCACGACACGCGCTCATCTCTACTACAGAGCGACAAATAGCAAATAGGCAAACGCGAGTCGCATACATAAATAAACGGCAATAAATGTTGATGATGGCAACAGAAATCAAAGCAAACGCTGATTGAGTAACGCTTAAATGTGTAAAGGTCAAGCAAAACAAAACAAAACAAATCAACAATAGCAACAGCAACAACAATAACAAATGGACAACTAACAGAGGCAACAAAAAAATAACCATAGAATAGACAGCTTGGCGCAGAGCCGTTGATAATTGTAAATGGCAAAGACGAATGCGCCAACGACTTTCACTGTGCACTGTGCAAATGACAAACAGACACAAACAACAACAACACCAAACAACAACCACACCAAACAGCAACAACAGCAGCAGCAGCAGCAAAAAGTTGTGCGCGAATCGGAATTTAATATTTGTGATTTTTTACTTATATTTTATTTTTAAGTATTAAGTAATTGAGTGTTGTCATTGTGTTAGTGTTGATTTTGTTATTGTTGTTGTTGCTGTTGCCAGCGGCAAAACGAAGAGCGCGCACTCACACATACACACATACACACACACACATACACGCACACAAGCAAAACGAAAGACTTAGGCAACAAACTTGGCTGCCTGCTTTGATTTAATGATGACTGCGTTTCATTTCAACTTTTTACAGGCTAATCATCAATCTCACACAAACACACACGCACGCACACACACACACACACACACACGCGTGTATATATAATTATATGCTTTAATTTTCAAAGCGACAACTCGCAAGCCGCACATTTGCCAATTAGTTAAACTCAGTGGTTTTAGGCCATGTGGCAAATGCAATTGCAGAAAGTAGCGAAACCCGCAAGAACGGTAATTGTAGCACACGCACCAGCTAAGCCAAAGAAAGGAAAGAACAACAACAGTCAGCCAAGAAAAAGCTGCGCAAAATAAATAATAAAAAAATCAAACGAAGAAAAAACTTGCCGCACCAAAAAGAAATATAATTCAATAACGTAAATGGTCAAGAAATCAAAACGTACTGAGCCAAAAAGGTAAACAAAAATGCTGGCAAAGGTACAACAAGCGCAGCCAGAGAGAGAGAGAGAGAGAGCGCGTTCCAATGCGAGAGCGCAAGGGAGCGAGTGCTGCTCTCTGGCAACATTGTTGATAAGACGAAGCTAAAACAATAAGACAGAGGACGGCGGGCGGGGAGCGGGCAGCGGGCAGCGGGCAGCGGCTCGCCTGTTGCTGCCAACAAGTGAAGCGCGCGTTTTGTTGTGGGGCTCGTCTCTGATAATCGCCGCTAATGTGCGCCCATAATGAAGTTCATAACAGGCAATGCCTATGATCATTATGATATCCAATGATTATGAGCTAAGAGCGCCAGCCAGGCGAGGCATGAGAAAAGATCAAAAGAGAGAGCGAGAGAGAGAGAGAGACAAAGAGCACGACACCAATTTGGAACAAAAGCCGCAACAAAAACAATAAGAAGCACAGCAGAAAAAAACCAGTTACAACAACTGATGTTTTAATATTGTGCTGCCTGAGTTGTTGTTGTTGTTGTTGCTGCTGCTTTTGCTGTTGTTTTTGCTTTTGTGGTTGTTGCTGTTGTTGCTGGCGAAGGTGGTTTTGCGTTCTTGTTGTTTTTGCTTTTGGAACTGCGACGTTGACAAAAGCTAATGGCAAAGCAAAAGCAAAAATAAAAAAATTGTGATTTATATACGAGTATCGCAAGTAGACGCAACGAATGCTGAATACACTACAATTAACTGGATAATATATATTTGCTTTATAAAGTTGTATTCTTGTAGCTAAAAGCTTAGCAAGAGATTGTTTTAATAATAAATCAAACAAATTAAAGCCAATGTGAAACTGAGACGAATTCAGAATTAATCACCTAGCTAGTTAAGTAAGCAACTAAATATTATTAATATTATTTAAATTTTATTTTTCAATTTTCAACTTCGCTAAATGAGACAATCATCAAATATTTATCTCAGAAAATACTCTCAATTAATTGTTTTAATATTGTATTTTAAGTTGAAAAGTTTTTGCAATGGATCAAAAATATAGAAAAACATTAACTGTAAAAATCAAAGGAATGCATGAATACATAAGATATGGCAAACTGATGAAGGGTACAAATTGAAAGCTGATTCAAAAATGTTGCAAGTCGCTCAACGTACACAAAATACCCGAAATGTGCAGGCTAAGCAAAGCTATCAAGTAATCAATATATGCAAGTAGCTTGATATGATAAAAATGTTATTATTTAAAGGGCAACCGCAAAGTATGCAACATGGATCGGGTTAAGTATATATTTAAATATTTATAAACAAAATGCCAAACACCCAGCTAATTAGGCAACTATGTTAAGCAACGTTCGCGCGTTTAAAACAGCGCCAGAAACGCCAAGTCTACAAAATGCTTAACAGACAATACAATTGTTAAGCAAATAAAAATAAGATAAAATGCAACAATAAGAAAAGCAAAAGAAAAAAAAAAAAAACAAGTTTAGCCATGCAAATTGACAACTAAAAGCGAAAACAAACACGGCAAACCGCAATCGAAATGGCAAAGGAAAATGACGCCAAACAGCTTTGGCTGAGATTTTCCGAGACTTTGATTTTTTGCCAGGCGCAGACGGGGCTTCATTTTTTTGAAGAGCATTGCCGGCGCCAAAGCCAAAGAAAGCCAGATAAAGCTAGATAAATAATAATAATAATGAAAATGGAAAATAAATCATAGAAATTATGTGCATGGCCAAAAGAGCCAAGCAATTTTCCATTTCACATCTAAAACGCCTCGGGACGGAGAAAGGAAAATGAAAACTAAAAACTGAAAACTGAAAACTGGCCAAAAACGAAAAGAAAAACTCTTGAAGCTGCGCCGCCGACACTGGAAAAACTCGTTTACATACAAATCGTCGTGATAAAGCTGGCCATACGAGCGCCCAAGAACTCGAAAGAGCCGCCGCGTTGCGGTCCCGGAGCCGCTGCCGCTGTCGCACCGCCGCGTGCTCGTGCCCGGGGCCGTGGAGGGGGCACAGGCGCTGCCGGAACGTCGGTGCAGTTTGTGTAAGTGTGTGTGTGTGTGTGCGTTTGGAGTGTGTGGAGTGGTATCGTGTAGCAGAGTGTAGTTGTTGCCGTTGTTGTCGTTGCAATGAAGTTTGTTTTTTATTACACACGAAAAAGATAGAAGAGGAGTAGAAGAAAAAGAAGGAGAAAAGTGTAGAGGAAAATTACACAGAGACAGCGACATCAAGTCATATACATATACGTATAAACACGATAAAAAAAGAAAAGAAATATTAAAAAAAAAAAAAAACATACCCACAAAATCTTGAATTACTCGTAGAGCAAGAAAATAGACATAAGAGCGATAGTGAAACGTAAACAAAATGCTAATAAATGTCGTTCAACAAAATTCAAGTAATAATAAACAAAAAAAAAAACAGATATATATAATTCGTTAACTTGATGTTGTATGCAGCGATTTGTTTAATGTTTAAGAAATGACTCGCGTCGTGAATTGAATGTCTGTGCATTTGTGAAGTGCATCTGAAGTGAGGTGAAGTGTTGTGTGATTATTCGAGTGGGGCAAAGAAATGTCCGAATTTGGGCTCGAGAGTTTTTAGAGGAAGAAGCGGAAGTACTCGATCCACAGATAAGTGCATAGACATCATGTCATTTCTATATGTATGCACAATCGTAAGACTGACAAACTATAAACCCCAGGCATAGGTGCACATGCCTTATCAATGGAAGCAGCAAAGTTGATAAGGCTGCGATTTTGCGCTCTATTATAACTACATATACTTGTGTACATATAACTAAACCACCTGGTCAAGTAAGGAATATAAACTGGGGTAGGGGTATTCAAGTTGCTTGTACTGCTTACTTTTTAGCAGGCGTATTGCATTGTTTCCTATGTTAGATGTGTATTTATATACGAGGTTCTCTTACGTGTTAGATAACTCTTAATATTTTGATAAACATTTGAAAAATAAATAAATATATGAAAAAGAGTGAAAGAAAACCCCCTACTCTTAACTATAATAATTTATAAGAAAGTTCTAGTTTAATATCCCGCTTAACATGTGGACAATTGTAAGCTCTTTATACGCCTTGACATATTAAAATAAGATATAGAACCAATGGCAAATTGTTATCAGACATTGATAAAGATGCCCATGCATATGTATGTAGGCAATAATTACAATTACAATGTTTTTTTTTGCAATCAAAAATCATTTATGTCCAAGTTTCGACGTAACTTTCAAATTTAAATAGTTCTGCAGTATTAATTATTCGATATTTAAATGATTTTAAACCTTTTAATAGGTCGAGTAACTTTATAACTACAACCATTTTAATAGAAAACTATAAAAGTTTTGATTCATTTGAGTGGTTTAATATAATTCTTGGTAGACTTGGTCACACACAATCTTATCAAAATGATAAAGAAGCTTCCGAGCACGATTGGTGTTTAAATTTGACACTCTAGGCACCAACTCGACGAGTGTTTTTCTTTTTTAAATTTTTTAATTAATTCAATTAGCGAGGCGAAACATTTATTGACTTTAGACAAGGCGGATTGCGGCCGGCGGGCTGCGACGATTTCACATTGCAACGCAGAGGCTGAGAGGAAAAGGGGGAAATCGCATCCAATTAGACGCAAAACACGAAGATGCGACGATGCAGTTGATAGCTAATGACGGCAAATGATGCGCGATGCAGTTGACAGACCAAATCAAAACACATGGAGAAATTCAAATGAGGCATGGCATGATAATTCTTGTTGTTGTTTTTGTTAGTGCTGCACTCACCTTCGGAGGGTGCCAAGAGCTTGACAAAATTATCCGGAAACACGCCCACTTTGCCGTGCAGCTCGCCCTTCCACCAGCCCTTGTCCGGCAGCTCCATGCTGATGACACTGATAATGTCATCCACCTTCAATTCCAGCTCATCCTCGTTCTGCGGCGCATAGGGAAACTCTACGCGACAAAAGTCGCGCTGCGGTTTCGGTGGTAACGTGGGCGCTGCCGCCGCCGCCGCTGCCGCCGCAGCCACCGCTGCTGCATTCACAGTGGATGCCGTGGCTCTGCTTTTCGATTGCTGCTTCGCTGTGCTTGTATTTGTGGCAGGTGCAGCTGCTGCCGTTGCAGATACTGAAGGAGCAGCTGTTGCAGTTGCTGCTGCTGCTGCTGCTGTCGCGCCCGCTGCTGCTCCTCCTGTTGTTGTTGCTGCTGCTGCTGCTATGTTGGCAGCTTTGGCTGTTAGCGCCGATGTCGTGACCGTTGCACCAATCGTTGGCGGCCGCTTGGAGGCCAGAATCGGCGATGGTTCGATATGTTGCACAAAATTTGAGGGAAATACGCCAACTTTGCTGCGCAAACGTCCGCGCCACCAGCCTTCCTCGACCTAAATGAGAGCGAAATGCCACAAAAAATAACGAAAAAAAAAAAAAAAATTGAATATTCGCTTTCAGTTTGTGTTATTGGGTTGCGTCAAAACTTATTGGCAAAGAGGTTAAATGGGGGTTGTGGGCACTCAGTGTGCTGTGTGTATATATATATATTGGTGTGTGTGTGTGTGTACATACCTCCCCTAGGAATTCAATGACATCACCCACGGCCAGCGTCAGTTCGTCGTCGTTGACTTGTGTGTAACTGTAGATGACTTTACAGCGGCGATTCGATGTCGCTGATTTCTCCCTGAGAGCAATAAAAAAAAAACAAATGAAAAGAAAAGAGAGACAAAGAGTGCAAAAATTATATTACACATATGCAAAGAGAGAAATTGCAAATATTAGTTTCAGTCTAAATGACATTAGCTGCGATTGGAATAAAGAATATGTTTGTGCAGACCAAATAAAAGCTTTAAGGCAACTGCTTGAAGAGTGACATGCGTATTTGAGCTTTGGATTAAGATGAAATGCTTTTAAGTATTTATTCTTATTTGATATTATCAAACCTTTCTGGTTCAAGCTTTATTAAGATTAAAAGCTAGCATAGCTTTCAATTGTATAGACAAGAAAAAAGGTGTATAGAAAAGTTTGTATCTCAATTAAAGCTTTCAAAGCATTTACTTAAAAGCACCTAGTTTGAGTTAAATCTAACATTTGACTTAAAGCTCCAAAAAAGGTTTAAGAGTGCTTTAAAAGCATATAATATGTAAGCTTTCCGTTTTTGATATATACAAAATATTAAACATACAAATATTATTTTGAAATCAAAATTAAGATAACAATATAAAGAAAAAACAGCTTATGGAATTCATGCAAAATTAAATATCACTCTTAAAGCAAAGCCCTTGGCATGTATATAATTTATAAACTAATGAATTTACTTAAAAATAGTTTGTCAAAATTGTAATTAACTAAAACTGAAGTGATTAACTTTTTGTTTGAAATGTATATCTGAAAACTATTTAAGTTTTCACTAAAAAAAGGTTTCTTTTTATAATTTCCTCTCACTAATTTTCAGCCAATGTCATTTGTCTGTTGTCTGCTATGCAGATTGCGTCACCAACCTGAGCTGCACCACAGCACTGTCATCGCTGTGGTTGCCATTGCTGCTTGGCTCCAGTACGCGCACAAAATTATCCGGAAACATGCCCGTTACGCCGGTGGCCTTCAGTGTGCCCTGCCACCAGCCGCCGGGCATCTGTTTGATGCGATGTATGATGGCACCCTTGTGCAGATCCAGTTCATCTGGTTCCTTCGCAGCGTACTCGTACTCGACAACAGCGCAGATTGCTGGTGAGAGTGAAAGAGAGTGAAAGAGAGAGAGAGAGAGAGATATGTTCGGTTAGTAAGCCAATGGGGTAACCTTATATGGGACACGCGCATTTATAATGGCAATGTCCAAGTGCAAATATTTACTATTGCGCAATTCTCTAGTCTATTTCCCAGATGCCCGCTCCCGCTCCCGCTTCCGTAGTCGCCCTCTTTGCTAATGTGTCTGTCGTCTATCGGTTTGCTACGTGACACATTTTTGTTGATTTTTTGTTTATTTTTTAAATGCCTAAAAAAGTAAAAGTTACATGACGCGCTCTTTGTCTCCATGTTTGGAGCTACACACGAAACGGGAAAGATAATACATAATAATAAACAACGCGATTCGTGGGCATCAGTCAACTAGGCGTTAAAATTGGGTTAACGAATACTGTTGGCAGTGACTGTGCCCATGTCAATTGAATTAGTTAAGCGCCGAATTGTGATATGCCTTTTGATACATATTCCTTTTGCTATTGTTCACAGTTGTTATCAGCTAGATTTGTTGACAATTAAAGTGTTGTCATAAACTTTTGCTAGATGTACACATATTTTTTTAGATAGGCATTTGCAATGATGAGTAATTGTTGATAATTATCGACGGTAATTCCAGGGATATATACATTTTTTCTAGCTAACAAAATCCTTGACATTTGTTTTAATTATAATAAGCATTTTGAATATATTCTATGCTTTTTGCATATTCCATCTGATTCGGGTCTGAAGACTTTTCAATTACTGTAAAACTCTTTTCTGTACTACTAATTAAATATGTAAGCTTCAATTTTCAGCACATGTAGCGCACTTGTCAGTCATCATAGCCGACGACCATTTTCAGCCTCAACGCAGACCAGAAACCCCAAAACAATAAGTCATGACGCATAATGACAACAATGCCATGGGCAACAATTCAAAAAGATATATATATTTATATATATATATATATATATAGTACGTTACGATATAACATAACAATAACACGCAAATAACAATATCAAGAGCAATACCGGTACCATAATCACATATAAGCGACACTTGGCCCGCTCGCCTTCGGATCAATTTAAATAGCAACAACAACAAATCCAAACTTATTTTTTATTGGAGGTTGCTGCCCCCACACGATTGACTCACTTTTTTCATCATTTTTTATGAGTTTATTTTTTATATAGAGATGTCTGTTGTGGCTGTTTGAGACGCAAAAAGAAACAAAAATGGACACATTTATTAGATTCAATTCGCAAGAGCGGATGGAGGAAAGGACTAGACGCACACTTTAGTTAAGCTAAGTGCATTAGAACATTGAAATTATTGGAATAACAGGAAAGAAAATGGAATACCCTATAAATGCGAAGTTAGGTGAATATTGCTGCTTGATGAACCTATACTAAGAAACATCGCCTGATATTCGAAATGAATCACATTCATAGCCAGAACATGTCTCCCTTATCTCAATCATGTATCTCAAGATTTTATGGATGCAGTTGCATTATTAACATTAACTAAGCACTGTGGTGGTTATATTTCTCCCTCTGTCCCTCATTCAGTTGGAGCACTCTGCCTGCATAGAACTAAGAACTTAGGGTATGCGAGCAAATAAATTCCTATAATACGTGATGTTGTTGCAAGCACTTTATATGGGTCAATAGTGTTGGGGCCTCTTTTATGGCCGGACGATCATAAGGCTAATAAATGACGTGTGCGACAATGTCGAGGATGTGAAGTGGGTGGGGGAACTGAAATCGACGTCTGTTTAGAGCCTTCGAGTGTAAGCCATTTAGCAATGTGTAATAACTGATGCAGACCGACTCTAATGGCATCGATAATGAACAATTAAGACGGATCGTTAAGAGACATGTGCGATGCGAAATGCTTTTAATTTGACGAGAAGCGAACAGTAGTCAGCAGCGGACGAGGCGATGGCGAGGGGCGAGGGAAGTGGACCACCAACGTTGAAGTAGCTGCCAAATCCAATCTAAAGCAGCTTTGTGTGGCGCACATAATAATTTCACTTTATTTGCAGAAGACGACAGCATTAAAAGTTGCCCAAGACTGTCAAGAAAGAGAGAGAGAGAGAGAGAGAGAGAGAGAGAGGGAAAGAGAGAGAGAGAGAGAGAGAGAGAGAGAGAGAGAGCGACAGAGAGGGAGGGAAACGAGCCAAAGACTGGTAGAGAGAAGTGGCAAAAGTGCTGCCAAGCAACGTTCAAGTCGCTGCCGATTTGTAACTGGGCCAACACGGCCGTATTTCAGTTACAGTTTAACCCCACGCGACAGAGCCATGAGCCGAGAGGCAAAGCCAAGCAAAGCGTCAGCCAAATGAACCTTTAATGTGCTTATTTGTTGTTGTCTTTTGATACCCTGTAAAATGTTTGGGCAAGTCCATAGCAAAAATTTGCAAATGTTTGGCAACATGCAAAAACAGACTAAGATCTATTAGCTATAATCTTGAGGAGCACGAAAAGCTTACTCCCTTGCCTGGCTTTCAGTTCTAATTAGACTTTATACAACACTTGTTGTTCAGTAAAATTCTTTAAATTTCAATTGCTTAAAAACTTTAATAAAACTTCCGAAACAGCTTCGCGAATTATTCTATATTATTATCAAATTTTATGTTTTAAATGCCTTGAATTTATAAAAACTATTTATGAAAACATATTTTCCATAAACAATTTGATAGGACCTTATCAAATTGAACTTTATACATTAAAACATTTTTTTTATTTAAAATATTATTTTTTCAATTTAGAAAAGTACAAATCCACATCCTGTAAAGTGTACTAAATTAAAGTAAATAGACTTGACAGTGTACATTTTCGAGCTGTGTACAGGGCATTTTCTAGTCGTGCACTCGCATTTCTCATTTATTGTTATTTATTTGAACGTTTTTCTTTCCTTTCTTTTGGCCAAACACATCGCATCTGAATGTGCGCTTTAATAAACCTACAGACAGCGACCGCAAAGCTCAAGCCAGCTAACAACTACAAATACAATTGCACTACACACACTGGCACACACACTGGCACACACACACACACAGGCACACACACACATGCACAAGTATAGTGTAGAATGGGAAGCATGCAGAGACGACCGACTGACTGCCAGCAAAAGGCAAAGCGTTCGTTGTGAAATGAGGCGCGCCAGCTAAATGCTGAGAAATGGTGAAAAGTTGCAGCATTAAGTGGTGAAAACTACCACCACAACAACAACAAAAACTGCAACAACAACAAGAGCAACGGCAACCGCTGAAAAATGAGGCGACGACCGTGGTGCGCGGTGTCGTGTGAAAAATCCGTCAAGTTCCGGACTGGAAAATCGTGCAAATGTGTCAAAATTGAAGAAAACGACAAACTTGTATTCTTGCACTCTTGACCGCCAGGGGGCGTTTGTGTGCGGCGGTGGGCGTTTCCCAATGCCTGAGCTGTGCCTAAAAAGCTGATCCAATGTCAAAGTCGCACAAACTCAATTTGCCATAAAAATATGTAAATTACATATGAAAACTATATCCAAGTGCCTTGAAAGCGGTTTGGAAAAGTTAACACGACTTGTTTGTACTCTATAAAATTCGGATAGAGTGTAGCAAAAGATATGATATTAATATGAACAGCTGCCAAAGAAAATGGAACTTAAAAGATCTTTAAAAATATACATACATATATAATTATTATTATTATAACGCGAACCTATTGACATTGTTATAAGGGTATTTGTAACAGGACGAAGCATCTCCCGCTTAATGCATATATATTCGTGGTCAGCATCCATAGCCGAGTTGATCTAGACGTCTGTCCGTTTGTCTGCCCGTCGAACCGTATGTAAGAGCGCGTCGATCTCAAAACCTATAAAAGCTACAGATTTGAATGAATGTCGGTCCTCCTGGTGCCCGCACAGTTCGCCTTGGTTTCAGATAATCGAGAACTTTTCCCTTTTCCAAGCAAGCGATAAGACTGGATATCGAAATCTCGTGTTTTGAGCAAATATTTTTGATTTTAAGAGCAAGACTTACCCAACTTGACATGTTCGCTAGCGCAAACTGCATTTGGTGTTGGTAGAAGAAGGTTCAGGGTATCCGCTATTCGGACATCCTGACTAGAGCACTCCAACTTGTGTGTGCTTAATAATATGCCGAACAACTAACCTAGCCTAAAATGACTTTCGGCTAAGACATGCGCACATCCTGAGATTTAAACCCATCTAATTACACGCACATTGAAAGTTTATGCTTGACTTGTGGGATAAAGGCATATAACTTCCAGCCCCAAAAACAATCTGAAAGATTTGTGAGTAGCCAGATTTTTTAAGCAGATGATTAATAGGTTTCTCAACCTTTGCATTCTTCAGCTATGATAGCTGCGTCTTTACTATCAATCTTTCCTTTTCCTCAGCTTTGCTCAATGAGCTCTTCTATTGAAATGTTGGCTACAGTTCCGCTAAATTAACACACTCTTAGCCAGCTTATAGACGGATTTTTTTTTTGGATCGTTAATAAAGCTACGCATAGAAATGAATCAATTTGCGGAGCACATGAAAAAGCGCAGCCGGTTGCAACAGGCGGATATTACGAGGGGCCTGCGGGGCTAACCGGTTCTTGTGGCTCTTGGCAAGGTGCGGTCCGGTCGGCAGCACCTTTCCAAGCAAACACCTCGCGTAGGTGTGTGTGTGTGTGTGTGTCTGAAGATAATCCCCCAACCCACCTTCACACACCCTCGTCTGCACTTAAAGAAACACATGCTAATTGGCTTAACAATCAGTTTTTTGGCTGGCTTTGAATTTGGTTTTTTTTTTTTTTTTTTGTTTGGGCCATGAACCGTAAATGTTAAATTGCCTTTGCGTGCGTTTTTAACACACTTAAAAGAAGCCAAAGTATAGAGGTACAGGGGCTGCGGAGGCGTGGCTGGCAGCCATAAATCTATATACATACTACTTCTGAGCAGGGGGTGGAATCTGGCCAAGGCTTGGTTTATATGTCTGCACTTAAGAGTTAC